AGAAACAGAGCACGAGCAGGGCAAGGGCCGAGAGAGAGGGAGACCCAGAATCCGAAGCAGGCTCCAGGCCCTGAGCTGTCAGCACAGGGCCCGACGCGGGGCTCGAACTCACGGACCGTGAGATCATGACCTGAGTCGAAGTCGGGGTCTCACCCGACTGAGCCACCCAGGCGCCCTGCCACTTTGTGGCTTTAAAGCATCTTCCTGGCTCCCCGTGAGAAAGGTGAATGGGGGCAAGAGGGCGGGGTGGGGAGGCCAGCTCGGAGGGTGGAGCCAGAGTGATGGCGGCCTGGGTGGCCCTGGCCGGGATGCCGGAGGAAAGCGGATGGGACCAAGGTGAGCTTCAGAAGTAGGATCAGTGGGCGAGCAGGGAGGGAAAGGCAGGCGTCCGGTTTGAGTCCTGGCTTGGAGAAAACAGGCCAGTGCAGTTAAGATGCTGTATGGTCTCGAGTAACAAAAACAAAGTCTCACTGGCTTCAGCCATCAAGGGTGTAGATCGGCTCCTGATCCGGTTACTATGACCACAGAGCAGATCGCCCCGAACCGAGCAGCCTAAAATAGCGGCCACTGGCTCTTTCTCATCTCTCCACATTTCCACGCCGTCCCTCCGCGTGGGCTCCCCAGCATAGCGTCTCCAGGACAGCTGGATTTGCCGGCCGGGTGGAAGCTGTTGCCTTTTGTGGCCCAGCCTCAGAGGTTGTGCTTCGTCACCTCTGCCATGCTCTATTGGTCGAGGTCATTACAAAGTCCCCACCAAGCCCAGGTTCAAGGGGAGGGGACACAGGCCCCAGTTCTCTGTGGGGGAGTGTCGATGTGACGTTAAGAGGAGCATGTGGGATGGGAGAAATATTGGGGCGGCCGTCTTTGGACAGTATAATCAGCCATAGCTCATAGCATGGGAAATCCAGCAGTGGGGCGGCCTTCAGGACCAACTGGATCCAGCAGTTCAGAGATGTCCTTGGTGTCTTTCCACCATGTTGGTATCGTCCCAGGCTGGCTTCCCACTTGCTGGCAAAATGGCCACAGCGGGTTGAGACATCCCACCTGTGCCTTGCGGAAGGGGGTGGGAACTGGCTTTTCCGCAGCATTTCTCCAGAGAGGGAGGGGTTTCTTTCCTAGAATTCCCTGAGCCCTCCCCTTGCTTCTCATTGGCCCCCGTTGAGTCCCATGTCCATCCCTCACCCAATCCCTGTGGCAGGGAAATGCCACGTGCTCACTGGGTTACTGGGCCTGTCACTGTGACAAAAGGGAGGTGGGGGTGGAGTAGAGAGAAGGGGCAGCACCCTCACCAAGAGGGGACAGCTTGAAGGGGAGGTGATGGGTTCCATCTTGGATGTGTTGAGTTTGAGGGCTGAGCAGAGATGAGCCGTAGGCAAGTGGAGATCCAGTCCGCTGTTCAGGAGAAGGGTCTGGATTGGATGTAAAAATTAGGCCATTGGGTAGAGGAACAAGAAAGAGTAGCCAGACCAGAGGCCGAGGGGCCCTGGTATGCAGAGGTCAGGTCCAGGCAGTGGCAGAGTGACCAGAAAGGTGAGAAACCAGGAAAGTATGGGGTCACGGACATCGAGGAGGAGGCTTCAGGGAGGGGAGCGCGGTCACCTGTGCCAAACTTGACCAAGAGAAATGCAGGCACCCTGCAGGCCACGGGTCATTGGAGCAAGAGCCGTTTTGGAGGTGAGAAGTGGAGACAGCAGTGTTCCTGTTTACGGATCATGGGTATACACTTTCCTTTCTGGCCCAATTATTTTTCATTGCCAAAACGATCTCTTAGCAAGGGCGCCTGGGTGGCTCGGTTGGTTAAGCATCTGACTCTTGGTTTTGGCTCAGGTCATGATCTCACGGATCGTGAGTTCAAGCCCCGAGTCGGGCTCTGCACTGACGGTGTGGAGCCTGCCTGGGATTCTCCCTCTCTCTCCCCACTCCCCCACCCCCCGCCCCTCTCCTCGCGTGCACACACGCGTGTATTCTCCCTCTCTCTCTCAAAATAAATAAACTTAAAAAAAAAAAAAAGATCGCTTAGCAATACCTACCATATAAAATAGTCAGCAACAAAGTCAGGATAAAGAATCAAAAAGACGGGAAACCTATCAAAATAGAGTGGATTAGCCGTTGCCAGGGCACAGGGAAGTAGGATGGGAAGTGACTGCTGCTGGGTACAGGGTTTCTTCCTGGAGTGATGAATGCATCCTGGAATTAGAGTGTGTTGATAATTTCACAACCTCCTCGAAAAACCACTGGATTGCATAGTGACACCAGTCATTTTTGTGGTATGGGAATTAGATCTCAATTAAAAAAACAAGAACAGGGGCACCTGGGTGGCTCAGTCGGTTAAGCGTCCAACTTCGGCTCAGGTCCTGATCTCACAGTTTGTGGGTTCAAGTCCCGTGTTGGGCTCTGTGCTGACAGCTCAGAGCCTGGAACCAGCTTCGGATTCTGTCTGTCTGTCTGTGTCTCTCTCTCTCTCTCTCTCTCTCTCTGCCCCTCCCCTGCTCATGCTCTGTCTGTCAAAAATAAATAAATGTTAAAATTAAAAAAAATTTTTTAAATAAAAGAATACATACATACATACGCACATAAATAAATAGACAAGCAAAAATAGGCCGGAACACTGGCAAGAAGCCAGGGGTAATACGAAGGCACAGAAATTCTGTACTTGGTAGATACAGATGACAGATCAGGCTGTGAGTTTCCCGGGAGCCAGAGCAAAAAGGGAAATGTGGCCAGTTATGCAATTCCCAGTGTCCCTGAGATAAAAATTAGTTTACTGCACAGAGAAGGTTCAGCTGTTCCTTCTCGTGCTGAGTCGTTCAGAGATTTTGTCTTCAGAAAGGGACATCCTGCACCACAACAAGCCCCTTGGAGGGACCGCAGTGTGCTCCTTCCCTCTGCCCAGGAGGGGCTCCACGGTGGACACCATCCAGTCAGCCTCACGGCACCCAGGCCTGCACCTGTGCCCTCGCCGCCGTGGACAGGAGCCACAGGACCGGCCGTGCTGTGCCTCGGGGACGGCCACTGACAGCAGGCGGCAAGCCCCGGTGGAGGGTGGCTCAGCAGTGGCCGTGCTGCCCCAGCACTGCCCCTAGGCCACCGTGAGACCCAGCACGTTCACACGGGTGCACACGCAGAGGGCTGGTGCAGGGAGCAAGGTCAAAGCCCAAACGCAGACGGAGGGTCTCAGGTCTGAGCCGAACCCTGCTGGCCTCGGGCTGGCTGCGCCCTTGCCCCCAAATGCAGTCTGCCCTCAGGCCAGGCTGGTCCTGAACCAGCGCGAGGCAGGCCCCGGAGGGGAGGGGGGCGCTCGCCGAGGGCCAGGCCTCCTAGGGAGGGGCCCACTGCGCCCACAGATAACATCCCGGACAGGGGTTTGCAGCTTCTCAGGCGGTGAGGCCGAGGAGCCTGACCCGCTTCCCTCTCCCCAGCGGCTGGAGCCATATGAGCCCTGCCCGCTCCTCAGCCCCTCAAAGACACACACCGCACCCCTGCACGACCCACTGCTGACTCCTGGGCCCCCGCCGCGTGCCCCCGTGCCACACTCCAGCGCTGCTCTAGCTTCTGATGACACATCTGTCCCTCCTTCCACAGGAGAAGCCCTGGGCATCAAGTACCCGGTCCAGGTCCCCTACAAGCGGATCAAGAGTAACCCCGGCTCGGTGATCATCGAGGGGCTCCCCCCGGGAATCCCCTTCCGAAAGCCCTGCACCTTTGGCTCCCAGAACCTGGAGAGGATTCTTGCAGTGGCTGACAAGATCAAGTTCACGGTCACCAGGTGCTCAGGGGGAAGGGTGAGGAGGCAAGACTAGCACGGGTGGGGGCCCTTGGCCTTTCCTTTGATCTGGTCCTGCCTCGTTCTGCCCTCCTTGCTGGACCAAGGTAGCTTTCCGGTGCCATCCTGGGTCCCAGTGGGGGACAGAAAGGTGGCAGAGGGCCGGCCAGGGTGCAGGGAACCCCACTCAACCACCATGCAGCAGGGATAACCCTCACGACACCTCCTACCTGCCCGCAGCACCCACTCACTGCCCCCCCAGCCCCCAGGAAGGGCGGTCAGCCCACGTCAGAGGGGAGATCCCTGAGACGAGAGACTTGCCCAGGGGTCACAGAACCACCAGGGCGGGACTAGCAGGAGGCCCCGGTCACCAGGCCGCCCCCTGGTCAGCGTCCTGCCCCAGTGACGCCTCCCCGGGCATCTTGTTAAAATGCCGTTCCAATGCAGTAGGTGTCGGGTGGACCCCAAACATTTCCGAACTGCTCCCAGGTCCTCGCTCTGATGCCCCTGTCTCTGTTTCTCTTCCAGGCCTTTTCAAGGACTCATCCCAAAGCCTGGTAAGAGGCACTGGCCTGGGGGGTGGGGGGGGCTGCTTGGCATGGGGGGCCGGCAGCTGTGCTGGGGGCCAGAGGCCAAAAGCTGGAGAATGCCGTGGGACTGGGAGGCCCTGCCATTCAAGTCTCCTCGATCCTCTGGGCACACGACCCCTGAGACTTGCAGGAGGAAAGGTCACACTGGAACCTGAGCCAGAGGAAGGCCCAGCCAGGGATCAGGAGGGCAGGTCGGTGCCCTCCACTCCTGATTAGGGGCCGGGTTGACCTGAGTGTGCGGGTGAGGTTGCTGGCAGGTGGTTTCTAACCACAGAGGAGGGAACTTACACATGGAGACAAGGCGAGGAGGCTTGGTGGTGCGGGTAAGTGCTTACTTGGCCTTGAATGGTAGGATGCTTCTCCTGATCGCCTTTCCAGGCCCCGGCCCCCTCCACCTCCTCCATGGGCTGTGCCCTGATCTTCCCAAACCCTGAACAAGAGGGGCGCGTGGCTGGCTCGGTGGGTGGAACACGCGACTCTTGATCTTGGGGTCATGAAGTTTGAGCCCCACCATAGAATTACAAAAAAAAAAAAAAAGGCAAAAAAACCCAAACCGGAATGAGCAAGGTGTTGTAGCGTGACCACCATCTCATGAGTGCTCTGGGCATACGGTCTCTTGGGCTGATAAACATGTGCTGAATTGTTGACCCCAGAACCTGTGTCTTGGGAGAGACTTGTCCCTGACACACCTGGCAGCCTGGCACCGCCGAGGAAGGCGGCTGGCCGCCCTGTAAGCCCATAGGGAATGTAAGCCCCTTAGGGGAGAAACAGCGTGCAGTGGAGGGAGTGCAGTGCCTGGAGCTTAACACAACCTGCAGGACCCAGGAATCAGCCTCCGCAGTCCCACCGGGAGACTGTTCCCCTTGCCCTGCCAGTGCACACTGACCCCTGCTGCCCTGGAGGCGTTCAGTCCCTGGGCCCAGGCCTGGCACCGATGAGCTGGGGAAGAGGCCATCAAGCTGCAAAGGGACAGGACTTACCGAGGGGAATTAGTGATGGGGGCTGTTGTCCGATGGGGACCTAAGGCTGGGAGCAAGAGCAGGGGCTTGCACTGTCCCTTTCTCACCGACGTGGGAGCCACCGTGGCTAAAGCTTGCAGTATCCCCTCGCCGTGTGAACCCGTTAGGCCCTCTGTGGACCTGCTTTGCTCCAGGACCCCGTGGTAGACAGCCTGTGGTCAAGCTCACCCACCTGTACCCTACAGCAGGGGCCCAGTCTGGGCATCAGGCCGACTGGCTCCACTCGGGGCTGCCTTAGACATCAGTGCTGAGTGCCCCTGACTCAGCTCCAGTCACTGCCCTGGCCCACCTGGGTTTCTGCCTGGAATGCTGTCATTGCTGGGCATGGGAAGGAAGGACAGGAACAGCAGCGGAAAAGAATGTGAGCTCCCTCTGTAGGGGAGTAAAAATGCAGCAGGTGGCCTGTGTGCTCCCAGTACCTACCAGAAGGGGAGGCATCTCGTGAGGCCAGACATGTGACTGTATGACTGCTTGGGCGCAGAGCGGCGTTCTTTTAATAGTTTGGAAAGCAGGAAGGAAAAGTGATTAGTGACACCTAACGTGTCCCGGGCTGCCAAGGCAGTGGCTTTGCACTGTGACCCTTATCCTGCCTGCTGCTTTGTCTTGAGGGGGAAAGCTGGGGTGGGGGGACATCGGCGGTTGCCCAGCTGCCTGTAGTGGAGGAGCTCCAGAGCCATGCCTGCCTGGGGAGGCCCACGACGATCATGTGGGTGGCCTGGGATTTGGGGTAGCCACCAAGCAGTGGGTGGGGCTGGGAGAGGAGAGGTCAGCCAGCAGCTCCACGCGCGGGCCACAGGGCTTCTGGGCCCTTCCCACTAACAGTTTGCCCTCCAGCACCGGGGTTATCACTGGCCCACTGGCTGTTGGGACAGATCTCAGCCATTGCCCCTGGGCGGTGGCTACCCAGCCTCTGTGCCCAGTCCGCCCGGCCCACCTACCCACCGGCCCCACAGCTTTGGCTCCTCTCAATGCTTTTGCCCAAGGCATATGGAAATGCTTTTGTCCTGCCCCGTGGTATGGGAAGGGTGGCAGGCTGCTGGAAGGGAGATGGGGAGGGAGCTCTGGGCCAGCCCTCAGGGAACCTGCCAGCCTTTCCAGGCGTGCATCCCCGACGTGGCAGCCTGGAGAGGGGCGGGACAGGCAGACTGTGAGCGGCTCCGTGCCTCATGTCTCGTCACGCAGCTGGGCTGGGAAGGTGTCCAGGCTCCTGGGGCCTCCAGAGGGTTGCAGGAGGTCACTTGAGAGCACGTTCTCCTGTCCCAGGCTGTTCCCAAACCCTCCATGGACAGTCGCTAAAGGAAATTGGGCAGGAGCTCAGGTCTCGGCAGCATGTTTTCAAGTGCCACGATATGGGGGGAAGGTGGAGGCTGGTCCAGAGGCAGGTGCCCTGGGCACGTGGAGGTGGCAGATCATCTGATTTGGGTTGTGAGTAGATGGCAGCGTGTGAGCCGTGGTGGGAAAGCGCGGGCTGGTGCTCAGACAGACCACCAAATCCTGCACCCGCCCCTTACTAGCCAGGTGACTCTGGGCTCATTCACACCCCACCCCAAGCCTCAAGCTTCCTCATCTATGGGGGATGGAAAAAGGCTGTCACGTGCCTCCTTAGGTGGGCAGAACTAGGTAAAATGGATGGGCAGCAGGGGGGGTGGACTGTTTTACCCAGCTGTCCTGGGGCTGCATCTGACACCTAGGTGAGGATGTTTGTAAGCAGCTTTGACCCTGGACCAGCTGTGATGGGAAGTGCTCAGCCACTGGGGGGGGTAGCGGTGGTTGTTCCTGGAGCTTGGGAAGGCTTCCTGGAGGAGGTGGCATGGAGCCAGGCCTGGGAGATGAGCAGGCGTGTGCTATTGATGCAGGGCCCAGCCTCAGTGAAGGCTGGAGGGGCTGTCGGGGGACATGGCTGGAGCACGGAATGGGGAGTGACACCCCCCCATGGCCGGGAAGGTGTGTGGCGTCATGACAGGGGCAGGCCCCCTCCTGGGCACAGTGTCATTCAAAGACATTTTCCTGTTTCTTTTCTCCTCTTCCAAAAATATCAAATGCAAACTCAGAAGCACAAGACATGTAAAATTGAACCAGATTTCTACCGAAAGCCCCCCCATTGCGTAGTGGCAGAATCTGAGTCCATTGAGGATTCCCCTTTCCCCTGGGCCTGTGTCCAAGTTCAGGAGGGATCCATAGTGCCGAGGAGTTAGGCGGAGGGCGCCCCCAGTCTTGAATGTCACGTGTCTGCATTGGTACCTACAAGATATCCACGGACATCTGTCCGTGCAGATGGCTGGAGATGCCCTTTATTCCTACCCGTTGAGGCTTCCCCGGGGCCTGGAACCTTCTGTGAAGCCCGCCCCTGTAGCCCCTTGCACACTGTGGAGGTTTGAGCATGAGCAGGCCAGTGACTGAGGTACTTGTCGATGAGCTGTGCAAGGAATGGGAGGAGGTGGAGCAGATTCGTGGGAAAGGTGACCTTTTTGGCATTGGGGGGAGTGCGAAGGCGTGGACTTAGGAAGGGCTGGCGGGCGGGCTTCCTGGGAGGAGATGGCTCTGAGATTTTCTAGGTTGTTTATCAAAGGCTCCCGTAGAAGCCTTTCCTAACAGGACAACCCGAGAAAGTGAATTCTAAAGAAAACTGTTATGCTTTGAAGATAAATTGGTCGTTAAACCTGGCCTTTTCACAATCCTTCCTGGATCTGTGGACCGGGCCAGAGTGGCGCGAGGGGTACGGCCGTTCCTGGGCCAGTTTTGTTCTGGGTCAAAAGAGATGATCCCAGAGGCCTGTAAGTGTTGCCCCCACTGGGGACATCACATCTGCCCTCAGGGTCTCCGTTTCCCCACTGGCGCCTAGTAGCCCTTTCTGCTCATGCCGAGTGTTGGGAGGGAGCCTGGCCAAAGAAGATGGCGTCGGATGAAGTCTCAGAGGACAGTGGGTGGGATTTCGGGCCTCTGGTCAGGAGAGCTGTGGGCTTCACGGACCCCTAAGGGTAGGGATGCTGGCCGGAGGGGGCCTGGTAGGGGACCCGGGGCTGCTGAGGGATGGCAGGACCAGGCCCTCTGCTTGTCCTAGAGTGAGCCCCAGCCCTGCCTTCAGTGGGCCAGGGTGACCCAGGCCTCAGGAGCCCTAGTGAGTGAGGCCCAGGGGGGATCCACGCTGCGGAAGCTCCTTGCCCCCTCGCTGGGCTGCTCCCCAACTCGCCTACCTGCGTGCAGGGCACGGGGTTAAAGCAGGGAGGTGGGGTGGGGCTGAGAGGCAGGTGGCTGGGGAGCCCTAGGACTCTCTGCCCTCAAAGTCCCAGGCACTCCGCTCTCGGGAACAGGTGCGCACCAGGGGCCACAAGTCATCGGGCCCCCACAGAGCACAGCGGTAGTGTTTGTCACAGAGGGGGTCTGGGCGAGCCCGGAGTGTGTTCTCAGCAGACCAAGTCCAGGCACTTTCCCCAGACCCAGAGGGTTCCCCCCCCCCCCCCCCCCCCCCCCCCGTGAACACCCAAGACAGCAGAGGAAGCTGATCAAGGGAATGCTGGGAAGGAGCAGTGGCAGCAGAGGAAGGAGAGGCCCTCAGCCCAGGGAGCTGGTGTAGTAACAACCCCAGAACATTCTAGCAGGTCCTAAAACCTGAAGGGAAATGCAGAGATATGTGCCCATGGTGGAAATTTGGCAAGTGCAGAAATCTAACTGCCCAGATGGCTGTTCATTTTTATGATGATACATTTCTTCCAGATTTTCCCCCGAGCTTATTAATTTTACATCTCAGTGTTGTTCTTTCTATAGATTTATACACATACACACACTGGAAACATAAGCATTTTCTGATATTTTTAAAATGCCTTATGATATTCCCTCATCAGGCTGCATCATTGTTATATAACTGCCCTGTCCCCTAACTGGGGACATTGGGCAACTCCTCACACACCGTGGACACCTAACATCCATATCGTGCTTCTGATCTTCCGA